GAAAAGATAATTATCCTCGGCTGATTCGGGGTGAAACCTCTGCTGCCAAACTAGAGCTAGGGCTGATGATAAGGCTCCACCTCTTCGTGGCACGCTCCAGGTTCAGCAGCAGAACTTCCAACTCTTTCTCAGAGTGAGCAGCAACCGCCAGATCATCAGCATACATAACATGGTGAACCAGCAGGGAGCCATCCCTCGACCAGCCTTCCATTGTATATGTACCAGATCGAAATCCCACTGGTACAGCCATGGAAGGCTTCTCGAACGACGTGGTTGAAGATGATGTTAAATAATGTGGGAGCCAGAGGACACCCCTGACGCATCCCAACGTGAACAGGGAATGGCTCTGACTCCCGGCCACACAACTTTTCACCGGGCCTGCCCACCATCATGAAGGTCCTTAATGATTATGGGCATAGGCTCAGGGACTCCAAAAGCATGAAGAACAACCCAGATCCCTTGTCTACATCATAGCCCTTGACGAGGTCAATGAGTGAGAGATATAGGTCCCTTTGAAATTCCATCTGCTGTAGTAGCCTGACAAAGAATATGGCATCCGCGCAAGACCGCCAAGGCCTCAGCGAGTCTGGCAAGGCGATGGGGAATATACCTTTGCCAAGGCCTTTGCCAGCACACTGCGGAAGATGTCCTGGTAGTTGTTACAATCTGTGCACACGTACACATACCAATTGTACACACAGCACACTAACGCACACACACATGCACGGTACAAACAATATGCACTGATCGTAATGCGCGCACACACACGTAGGAGTGCTGCGCAAACAGAGACTCAGATTGCGTGCCATTTCCTGGCTGCGCGGTATGAAAGGGCACGTGTTTGCCCAGTTCACGACGCCACTGACTTCTACACGAAGAGACTCCAGAGTTGTTGCTACCTGTCGCAATGTTCACTCCTCCATCACCTGGGCTGCCAGATTCATGTGTTTGGTAAATAATGCCCAAACCTCGAGACTAGCCAAGTGTGGCAGGATATATCGAGACAGCCCGTATCAGCAACAGCCCTCCGACGCCAACACCTAACGTCCCTCCTGGCAAAGCCCTCTAGCGAGCCCCCTTTCCTAGGGGTCCCTCCTGACTCCCAAGTTTCGTAGAAAGTGCCCCTTGGCAGGGATCCCTCCTGGGAAAGCTCCAGATGGAGCTCTTGCCGATCTCCGAGTCTCGACAGTCACGGCCGCTCCGATGCAGACACGAGGCCGACCCCTGGGCCTCCTCTTCCACCCACGAGGGTCCCTAGCTCCAAGACCAAGGCGAGCAGGGTCAAACCCAGGGTAAGCGAGGAGCCACGTGGCCACAGTGCCCATGTTGGCGTTCCCCGTATCGTGCCGGTAGCAGCCCATGTTGAGACACCAAGTCCCCTAATCGATAAGTACCCCAAGAGTCGTGCGATAGGAAGGCCAGACGTTCATTCTGTGACAGAAAAATAAGCAGCCATCACGCCCCGTCCCATATTCGTCTCTCCGCATATATACACAAAAAATTACACGTCACATCGGGCGCACGGCCTCCTGGGTGTACATCTCTTAAGCAGCATTGGTTGAATGCAAGCACACTCTGGACCAGTTTCGACATGTATTGTCTCATCAGCAGTCAGCCTTGCTTAAATCAATTGCTGGTGAACTGCCCGTTGATTAAAAGGAACACTTTGTGTTGGAAAAATAGGGTAATAAACGAAACTATTTTTATTGAACCAGGTAAGGCCCACTGAGCTATACAGCTCATTTTAAGATGCAATCTGGCCAAATATGATAGCTCAACGAAGTGGCTTATCATGTGGAAAATTATAGCAGCCAAATACTCATTCTAAAGATGGAGGGGAAAACCCGGAGGACCTAAGAGAAAAGTCCACGTGACCATGGAGAGAGAGACACGTTAACTCCAAATATACAAGCGTCAGGTGCGGGATCAAAACCACGATCTCCTGTATGACAGGCGAGGTAGTTAACATCGCACCACACTTAAAAATAATAATAATACATAACACGTAATAAATCATTGCCTCTGTGCCTAATCGTCGGCCACTGCAGACACGAAGATGCGATTTTATAACTACTCATGACAGTGGAGGCCAAGAGAGAGTTAGAGCTGTCAGTCCTGGCCATCGCTTATCGCTGGTCATTGCCGTAGCCGGAATCCACCGTCAGTGGCCACGCGGGTCTGAGACTCAGCTGAGCTGTTTATGCAAAGGTGGTGAATGCAAATTCATTATAACGCGCATCAATTCATAACCGATTAAAATTGCTCCTCTAAGCTTCGCTGTGTCCCCCCCCCCTCTGTCTCCCCCATGTGTCTCCCCTCTCAGCGTCTCTGTGTCTCCATAGCTCCTCTTCCCCCTAACTCCACATGCACCCCCCAACCCCACTTCATGTTGACACGGCTCTGTAGTAACCACCCTGCCCTCTATAGTAACCACCCTGCCCCCTGCCCCCTCCCCTCTATAGTAACCACCCTGCCCCCTGCCCCCTCCATTCTATAGTAACCACCCTGCCCCCTGCCCCCTCCCCTCTATAGTAACCACCCTGCCCCCTGCCCCCTCTCCTCTATAGTAACCACCCTGCCCCCTGCCCCCTCCCCTCTATAGTAACCACCCTGCCCCCTGCCCCCTCCCCTCTATAGTAACCACCCTGCCCCCTCCCCTCTATAGTAACCACCCTGCCCCCTCCCCTCTATAGTAACCACCCTGCCCCCTGCCCTCTATAGTAACCACCCTGCCCCCTGCCCCCTCCCCTCTATAGTAACCACCCTGCCCCCTGCCCTCTATAGTGACCACCCTGCCCCCTGCCCCCTCCCCTCTATAGTAACCACCCTGCCCCCTCCCCTCTATAGTAACCACCCTGCCCTCTATAGTAACCACCCTGCCCCCTGCCCTCTATAGTAACCACCCTGCCCCCTGCCCTCCCTCTATAGTAACCACCCTGCCCTCTATAGTAACCACCCTGCCCCCTCCCCTCTATAGTAACCACCCTGCCCCCTCCCCTCTATAGTAACCACCCTGCCCCCTGCCCTCTATAGTAACCACCCTGCCCCCTCCCCTCTATAGTAACCACCCTGCCCCCTGCCCTCTATAGTAACCACCCTGCCCCCTGCCCTCCCTCTATAGTAACCACCCTGCCCTCTATAGTAACCACCCTGCCCCCTCCCCTCTATAGTAACCACCGTGCCCCCTCCCCTCTATAGTAACCACCCTGCCCCCTCCCCTCTATAGTAACCACCCTGCCCCCTGCCCTCTATAGTAACCACCCTGCCCCCTCCCCTCTATAGTAACCACCCTGCCCCCTCCCCTCTATAGTAACCACCCTGCCCCCTCCCCTCTATAGTAACCACCCTGCCCCCTCCCCTCTATAGTAACCACCCTGCCCCGTGCCCTCCCTCCGCCCCTCTGGCCAGTCACATGGCTCACACGTATGAGTCGATTGATCAAACGTGTTGATGAAGGGGGTGCCCAGGATCGGTTCCGATATCACTCGCCAACGATGCTAGCCAGGGCCGGGAATCGACCTCAGGTTGCCAGGTTCATAGGGTAGGAGCAGTGTGGTAACCACTGCACCATCGCTCCATCTCTGGACAGCCTCACGGAGCCTCAAGACTCAGTTTATGGAGGTTGCTGCCAATGGGGTACTTAGAACCCGCAGGATCTAGAGAATAAGAGATCATGAACACTCAAAATCTCCACACAGATGGATGCCAGAATCCACTCGCTCTACTACTGCCATCTCCTGGCCACCTCGCAGCCAGGCGGGTGTTGGAACAGTAATTTAGCAGATTTACCTCTGTGATTTGCTGATGCAAAGGGGCGTATAGAGATGAGCAGAGGGGCACAGAGTCGCAAAGAGTCACACAGAGACACACAGAGTCGCACAGAGTCGCACAAAGACACACAGAGTCGCACAGTCGCATAGAGACACACAGAGTCGCACAGAGACACACAGAGTCGCACAGAGACACACAGAGTCGCATAGAGACACACAGAGTCGCACAGTCGCATAGAGACACACAGAGTCGCACAGAGACACACAGAGTCGCACAAAGACACACAGAGTCGCACAGTCGCATAGAGACACACAGAGTCGCACAGAGACACACAGAGTCGCACAGAGACACACAGAGTCGCACAGAGACACACAGAGTCGCACAGAGACACACAGAGACACACAGAGACGCACAGAGACACACAGAGACACACAGAGTCGCACAGAGACACACAGTCGCACAGAGACACACAGAGACGCACAGAGACACACAGAGACACACAGAGTCGCACAGAGACACACAGTCGCACAGAGACACACAGAGACGCACAGAGACACACAGAGACACACAGAGTCACACAGAGACACACAGAGACACACAGAGTCGCATAGAGACACACAGAGTCGCACAGAGACACACAGAGTCGCACAGAGACACACAGAGTCGCACAGAGACACACAGAGTCACACAGAGGCGCACGATTTTAATTGGCCTCTCCAGCTCCGCGTGATTGTGGTTGCTGAGCGAGCTCCCCCCACCACCCGTGTCTCTCCGCTGTTTCCCAAATCCACCCACGACCACCCCCGGCGTGCCTCGCTTTTACTCACAGGAGCGCGGATTAATCCGCACGCGATGAGCATCCCAAACCCGCGAAGGAGGAGGCACCGCCTGGGCCAGAGACAGAGCTGGGGGAGGCGGCTACATCGGACTGCGGTGTCAATTACAGACGCACTTCCGATGAGCACGGTTGGCTACGTGCGGTGTGAACGAAGTTTGACATGCGTACAGGTTTTCCCTCGCTTTGCGCAAATTGAAACCGCACGAGACAGCTGCCTGCCGAGTAAGTGAAGAGGTGGGAGGGCGAGTGTAAGGGTCAGAAGGTGAGTGAAGAGGTGGGAGAACGAGTGGATAGGTAGGAGGGTGAGTGCAGAGGAGAGAAGGGAGTGAAGAGGTGGAAGGGTGAGTGAAGAGGTGGAAGTTCTGAGTGAAGAGGCGAGTCGCTCCTCTACCTCCTCCGAACGCGGAGACCCCGCGGCAGAAGGCGTCGAAGTCGATCAAGCCCAGCCCCTTGGGGTCCAGCAGCCTCCCCAGGGCAACCGCCTGCAGTCACACAAAGACAAAGATCCCCCGTATAGCCTTCCGGGACGTTTGGGGCAAGTGCTGTTTTCGAGGACACGGAGACACATAGAGTATGCATAGAGACACACGTGCGTTCGTAGACATGCACGTGTAATATAAACAAAGACAGTATCCACAGATAAAGACCCCCCCACCCCATACAGGCTTTAGAAGACTGTTTGAGCAAGTGCTGTTAGCGAGCACCTATTTTCCCGGCGCGTTACACGAGGGAATGAGCTACGGGTTCCCAGCCACGGCTAACATCAGTGGCGAGCGATATCGGCCGGGCGGTTGTGGAACACGCGCCTTGTAAATACAGCGCTGTGCAGGCGCGGGTTGATGGATCGCACACGAAACGTTGTGAAACTCCCTTCCCGTGGATGTCGAGGATGGTGCCGTACCCTGGCTCGCCCGTGAGAAGGCAGTACGGCAAGTGGACTAATCGCCATCTGTTGCCATCTGTACGGGGGCTGGAGTGTTGCCTGCCTCGTGCAAGGCGTGGGTTTTCCCCGGGTGCTCCGGTTTCGTCCCACGTGGTGTGGATAACACGCAAACTCATCGTTAATTGGCTTAAAACATCTTACAAATGAAGCAAAAACAACCCAATGTAGCAACGTGACTCTCCTGAAAAAGAGTCCTACGACTCTTCTGGATAAATAAGTAAATTATTATTATTATTATATCTGAACCTGTCCTGGGGTTGACCCATCCTTCAGAGCAATCCGCACTGAGCGGCGTGGTGCAGTGCAGGGCAATGATCAAACAAGCACCACCACCACCAGCAGCGTGGTTGTGGTGGAGAGGCAATCATAGTCGCCCATCAGTGGGATTGAGGCAGAGGGGCTGCGTCGTGGTTAACTGCACGAGCAGAACAACTGCACACGACCCAATTGCGCAGAACCAACAACGCGAACAACCCGACCGAGAAGACACACGGACACCATGAAAGTGCGGGGAAAGGGGAATCGCATTCCTTCGGGAATTCCGGCTGGTGGTGGGGGGGGCTTAGACGAACCCTAAGCCCATCCTGACCCCTCTCCCTCCTCCCTCTCCCCTTCATCTTTTATTTCCTCTGCCATCCTAGCGCATTTCATCCCATCCCCCAGACCTCCCACCCCAACACCCCTCCCCCAGATCGCCCCACCACCACCACTCCCCAAATCTGCCACCCTACCCCAGGTCGGCTCGTTACGCTCCAGTGCTCGCGGTAAGCGAGAACAAAAGCGACCGCTGAAGCGGAGCCGCCCCGAACTTTTTTTGAGCTGAAGCGAGCGCCACAGCAGAGCACTCGTGAGAGACAGAGAACATTCACATGGAGTTGAGAGAGACAGAGAAGTTAGGAGGACAGGGAGAGATAGGGGCGGATAGTTGTCAACCTGTAACTTCTCAGTGCCGGGAAAAAGCCACCGCCGCCCCCTCCACCACCCTCTCGTTCTCTCCCAGCCCTTGTGTTCTTTAGTTGACCTTGGGGTGACGTCCGAATGCTCCGCTCATGAAATCCTTTAAAGGGCAATAAGGTTTCCGTGGGGCATGATCGAGGAGGATTGGAATAGATGGGGAGAGACGGCCAGTGGGAGGAAAGAGAGTGGCAGAGATGAGGAGAGTGACGAACAGCAAACAATGGAAAGGGGAAGAGTCAGGAGAGTTTAAGGTGAGACGGGAGAGGAGAGGGTCTAGTGATTGAAGAGACGAGAGGTTGGAGAGCAGCGGCGTAGCGAGCGAGCGTGCAGGCGCTGCAACTGCACCGGGGCCCAGCGGGGCCACGAGGAGAGCCCCACTCCATTGCCTGCACCCAGGGACCCGTGCCAACGGGTCGCGTTACGCGACTGGTCGAGGTCATTAAGACGCCACGGAGTCCAGTAACCCACCCCACTTCACCTTCCCACAAGCAATCTATCCGTAATTCGCTCGTTAACAACGAGATGAGCGACTGTTTGGCCACGTAAACATGAACTCTCGAACAAAGTATTTCAGTCCATCAGCCTTCCGAGCCACCGTTTTGCAGCCGCGTTTCTTTTAAGCCGCAGGCAACATTCCTGGAACAGTTTCAACTTCGCCGGGTTTCATCAGCGAGGGTGTGGGCAGTTCAGCATCTTCCGCCAGAAAGCAATGGCTCAAGAATGAACCAAATGCCATACGACAAGCAACACCAACAACAGCAATAAATAAACTTATTCTCATACACCAAGCAAGTGGCGGGGGCGTCAACCCGGCACACGTGCCAGGCTAGGTGCACATTGGAGGCCACGTGGAGTGGCGTAGGCTCGCTGGCTGACAGGAGGGCACGGGACACACGCACAGATGTTATGAGTTAACTGGCTAGGGTGACTGGAAATGCACCAACGCAAGACTAAGATCTACCGTATCGTCTCAAAAGACTGTTGGGGCAAGTGCTGTTCGCGAGCACCTATTAAGGCACACGAGGTGTGGCCAAAACCACGCGCGGTCGCCTTTGGCTCCCCAGTGCTGATGTTTATCCATTGTACATCGTACCAGGTTCTCATTTGAGGCTGAGTCGACCGTGTGGAGGCCACGGACCGGTTCAACAATTCGCCACTGTTATTTTGGTTGTGAATAGGAATCGAACTCGGGTTGGCCGAGTTGGAAGCGCAGTGCGCTAACCACTCCACTTGCTCCCACACACACACACACACACGCGCGCGTAGACACAAAAAGACACGCAAAACGGAGACACCCAAGGACAAATACAAAAAATAGACACACAAAGACAAGCACGCAGACACACGCACACAAAGATACACGCACAATACTCATAAGAACACAAACACACATCCCACACACACACACACGTCTACAAGTGCGATCAGCTGTTTCATATGGCAGTCGGGCTCGCTTAGTGTCTCGATATTGAAGCCTCCTAAAGGGCGGTAACGACCCAAAAAAAACACTCAGACGGCTACTCGACGTGCCCTGCCGGGCATTCTCTCACTCAAACGCTCCTCCGCCCGCTGGGCGAGAGGTTTCTGTTTGTGTGTCTTCACGGGTGTGGAGCGGTAGGTTTCCCCAGTTCGACTCCCGCTCACGGCCAACAACCCAGCGACCACTCCAGCGCTGTCCTACCAGACAGTCTCGTCCCTTCACCTGATGAAGGCCGCTTGTGTTGTGGCCGAAATGTCGTGAGAATATTATTGTGTTATTTTATTTTATCAATTTATTATTTTATTCTCATTCTACGTGACTTTACCGAAAGAACCTAAGAAGATAAACCCAGCGACGATTTTCTGAACCGGTCATGGGCATCGCCCAGGTCGACTCAGCCTCAAATGAGTACCTGATGCGGTGTGTAAAATCAACGCCACTGGGGAGAGACAAAGGCGGTCTTCGTAGGCGCTTGCTAACAGCGCTTGCCTCAGCAGTCTGTTAAGGCTACACGGGGGATATTTGTCTTGATGTGTTTGTGCATGTGTGTCTCTGTGTCTTGCTGTGTCTGTGTGACTCAATGCGTACTGTATGTCTCCGTGCCTACGTGTGTCTTTGTGTGTGTCAGTTGTCTTTGTGTGTACACATCAGCTGTTGTCTTTGTGTGTACACATCAGCAGTTGTCTTTGTGTATACACATCAGCACTGGGGAGAACAACACGCGTGACGTTGGCCAAACCACCCCTTCGTGCGCCGTGCCGTCTTTCATAGGCGCTCGCTTATTGCACTTGCCCGAACAGCCTGTTAAGACTACACGGGGGACCTCTGTGTGTTACTGACAGTGTGTGTGATGAGTACTTTATTTGTAAGAGAGGTATACACGTACATGTGCAATGGCCACAGGCGTGAGCACGTCACTCGTTACTTGAGAAACAGGTTCTGTGCTTCGTTTCCTTCCGGCAAGAGGCCCAACCCCTCGCTCACCTGTGCCCAACTGTGCCCACCTGTGCCCACCTGTGCTCACCTGTGCCCACCTGTGCCCCCCTGTGCCCACCTGTGCCTACCTGTGCCCACCTGTGCTCACCTGTGCCCACCTGTGCCCCCCTGTGCCCACCTGTGCTCACCTGTGCCCACCTGTGCCCACCTGTGCTCACCTGTGCCCACCTGTGCTCACCTGTGCCCACCTGTGCCCAACTGTGCCCACCTGTGCTCACCTGTGCCCCCCTGTGCCCACCTGTGCCCCCCTGTGCCCACCTGTGCTCACCTGTGCCCACCTGTGCTCACCTGTGCCCACCCGTGCCCACCTGTGCCCCCCTGTGCCCACCTGTGCTCACCTGTGCCCACCTGGGCCAACCACTCGCAGCGTCAACACGACACTGACAACTCGAATACGTCAGCTACAGACAGAACGTGTCTCTGTGTGCAGTCCCAATCCACTGCTGGATGAAGGACCCGTCTTTTGCAAGGGCTGCGTGACCAAACTTTACCATGCTGGATCGGTGCGTGTTTGTCAAGGTGGCGTGGGACAAGGCACGGTTCTGACATCATGAGCCACTGATGTTGGCTGCGGTCGTGAATTGAACTCAGTTCGGGCGGGTGTTTTAGTCTTGAGTGCAGTGCGCTAACAACTGCGCCACAGCTCCACCCAAATGCTGTTATTACTATATGATTGATATGAGCACTGTACTATTAATAGAATTGCAAAAAAACCCGACAAATTCGTCATAACTGTGGCCTTCGCAGTACAAAAAAACATAACAGGTGACGTTTCGGGCAATGTCCCTTGGTAGTGGTGCTCGTTCACCACTGCCAACGCAGCAGCATCACCAAACAATTGGTCTTCTATTCAGATTTGATGTTATTGCTCATTCCACTTCTGTGATGACTTCAACTGCCATCGCTGGATCTGCTACTCATGGGCAAGTCCACAAAAGCAGGCCAACATCAAACCTCAGTGAACCTTTCGACGCCATCCCAATAAGACGCATTGCGCGTCGATTTGAAAGCGATTATCTGTACGGTTGTTTTAGATTTTTTTTTTAATGTGGCATATTTGTAGAATCGGTTAGAATGGGTTTTGACACGTCCAGGAAACACTGATCGCACCATAAATCGACGTCGTAGGATGGAAACGAGCCGACACGTCGAGATTTGCATGAGCATTTCTCTCTTTAGCAACCGAAGAGGCCCCATTGTTTACACTGTATATGATTCACGGTGCTAATTCGTTGACATTAATTCGGCTAAGTATAAAAAAACAAAAGACACTTCAATCCACGACCAGATGAAGGCTTCCCAAAAGTCAAATGTATTGTACATAACGCGTAACAAAAAATTAAACACTTAAATAAGCCCACAAACAGTCTGCTTCATACATCGGTCCCACAACATAAAAAAACCCAATTTATTTATATTTTACACTTCCCTTCAACTCCGCAACATTTGTCTGGGAGCGCTGAATATTTTGGGCAGCATTGCGTCCATGCAAGCAACACTCTGCACCGGTTTCCACAGACAGCGTCTCATAGGCAGTGTCAGCCTTGCTTAAACCACTGCCAGCCGAGTGCCAGATGTTATCGGCAAGGGTCATTCCCCCCCCCCCTTACGTAATGGGGATCCCGGTTCGTATCTATGTTGAACTTTTTTTCGCACCGTACGTCGCCGGCCGTGCTAATCGGAGGTTGCGGAAAATGTAAACATTAATGCCGAACACGTGCGTCTTTTACAAAAAAACTAAGTTAAAATGATGTCACTAAGATGATTATATGTTCACTTTGTGCGCAAATGACGCACTGTGTCTCGACATCTGGGCGTGTATTGGTCGCTTCTGAAAAAAAAAGAACTACTATACAGGTGTACAGCTCAGTGAGCCTTACCTGGTCAAATCAAAGTAGTACTGCAGTAGTATTCGTTGTGTGTGCGGGCAGTATCGGTTGCTGATGTTTGCTAAAAAAAATGATGGTAGAAACAAGCGACTTGCAAAAACGCAGAGGAATGAACCCGCACGGGCAATACCAGAAGCGTTCCTATCTAGCTTCTATGGTTCCCACGCGACACCGGACCCCGACTGTCGTGACACAGCGAGCAAAGTGATACACAGTGCACACACACGCGCACACACAATGAGCGTCCATACACAATACAAAGATGCCCCCGCTAGCCTCGAACAGACTGCTGGGGCAAGTGCTGCGTAGCGAGCGACTCTGAACGCCAACCTGGCAGATGAGAGAGGTGGTTGGCTCCATACGGTACATGTGGCAGTGCGACGCCCGGCCGCCTTTGTCTCCGCAGTGCCAATGTTTGCACGCCGTGCCAGGTACTGTGTTTAAGGCTGAGTCGACCTAAGGGGAGGCCCAGAACCGGTTCAGATATTTGTCACTGATGTTGGGAATGAGTAGGAATCGAACTTGGCTCGCGAGGGTTTGGTTAACGCAGTTTTCCTATCCGCTGCACTATCACTCTCTCAATACAAAGAGCCCCCGTATAGCCTCACCAAACTGTTGGGACAAGCGTTGTTAGCGAGCACCTATCAAGACCGACACGGCACTCGAGGGGGTGAGTGGCCAGCTACCACGCCCGGCCGCCTTTGTCTCCCCGGTGCTGATATTTCACACACCGCATCAGGTACTCAATTGAGGCTGAGTCGACCTAGGGGAGGCCCAGGACCGGTTCAGATCATCGTCTCCGCTGTTGGCCGTGAGCGGGAATCGAACCCGGGTCGCGGGGTCGCCGGGTTCGTAGCGCAGCGTAGCGCTAACCGCTACGCTACCGCTCCCCACACACACGGACACACACACAGAATGAACACATACACTCATACACACACATAAAAAGATCCGCTTTATAGCCTGTTACAGACTGCCAGGGGCAGGTGTATGAATGTGTAAAGTGTGTGAACTCTTGTGTGTGTGTGCACGGATATGTCCGCATGAACGTATTAAGGCCGCGATGACACACAAGAGAGCGGCGTGGCCAGGACCCCGGGCCGGCCGCCTTTGTCTCCCCAGTGCTGATGTTCACACACCGCAACATGTACACACATACGGACAGTGTCCATAAAAAAAGCATACACCACAGAGGCATATGGACGCACAGGGTGTTAGTTACCGAAGTCGACACCACACCTGACGGCAGCGCGCGTGGGTCTACGAACATCGCTGGCCAGGTAAATCACCTGCGAGGTAAGGTCGTCAGGGTTTGGTCCCTGTACCAGGTGTTCACTGGCCAGGTGAGTGGCTAACCAGGTGAGCGGCTGGCTATGTGAGTCACCAATAAAGGTGAGGGCGTCAGGGTTTGACCCCCTGTACCAGGTGCGCTCTCACCTCCTGCTCGCTGGCCAGGTGAGTGGCTAACCAGGTGCGCTCTCACCTCCTGCTCGCTGGCCAGGTGAGTGGCTAACCAGGTGCGCTCTCACCTCCTGCTCGCTGGGCAGGTGAGTGGCTAACCAGGTGCGCTCTCACCTCCTGCTCGCTAGGCAGGTGAGTGGCTGACCAGGTGCGCTCTCACCTCCTGCTCGCTGGCCAGGTGAGTGGCTGACCAGGTGCGCTCTCACCTCCTGCTCGCTGGGCAGGTGAGACGCCGCGAGTCTCACGAAGTGCCCCACGTCCACCCAGCCATCTCCGTCTTCGTCGCACGCGGAGAACACGTCCCAGAGGCCGCCCCGCGGCCCCACCTCCATCCCTGCCGGCCCGAGGCAACAGCAGCGGCGGCGGCGGTAGCAGGGAGAGCAACAGGAGGACGAGGATGGAGAAGAGGAGGGGGAGGAGGAGGAGAATGAGGAGCGAAAACTCGCTCACTCCCTCCCGCCATGCGCGCTCGCTATCTCAAGCTTGAACTCTCTCTGTCTCTCTCCACCTCTCTCCACGCACTCTACGCGACTCTTCCCCCCCCTCCCACCCGTCTTTGCTCCGCAGTCACCCCCACAGCCGATCCGACCCCGTGCCGTCCCACGCCTCCCTCAAGCAGCGGCAGCACCGCCCCAACTCCAACACCGCCCCAACTCCAACACCGCCCCAACTCCAACACCGCCACCGTCATCACGCAGCGACGTGCTGAGGTCACTCGCGTGGTCTTCCCCCCAGCACCCAACCACCCACCAACCACCCCCTACCAACCCGTGCCGCCTCCTTCCTTCTTCCGCACGTTCCCCGTGACAGGCAGCTGATCGGCTCTGACCGCTCCCTCCGCCGACGGGCAGAGCTCGCGACCCTGACTGAGCGCAGCAGCGATGGAGCGCGCCGCGCCTCGGACCCTCCTCGTGGTGCCCCTGCTGCTCGCCACGCTCGCTGCGGTGCTGCTGGGGCCGGTGCGGCCGTGTGCGGGTCAGTGCGGCGCACAAACCAAACAGACAGACACAAGATCACACCGGGTGGCCTGTAAACATGCTTGTTTTTTTGGGGTCGGGGCGGTGGTGGTGGGGGGGATGGGCCGGTGCTGTTTGGCTTGCGCCGATCGAAAGTCCGGCACGGCACAAAGAGGAAGCGTGCGAACGGTCCGGCCGCCACCGCCACGCGCGGTCGCCTTTGTCTCCCCAGTGGGGATGTTTACAATATTAGAGGCAGAGTCGAGCACGTGGGGAAGAGGCGCAGCAGGGACGGTTCAGACGAATCGTCACCGGTGTTCGGGGACGTGTGCGGGGATTGAACTCGGGCGGCCCGGGGGTTGTAGCGCAGCGCGGCTAACCACTACCCCCCCCCAACTCTCTGTAGAGTGCGGCACACACACACTCGGGGGAGAGTCTCGTATCCTATAGATACAGATACACACGTGTGTATCTACGTCATAATCCTATAACAAAAGGACAATGATTTCCCGTTTCGCTGTAACAGACTACTTTGGGGCAATTGCAGTCAGCGAGCGCCTGTTAATGCCCGGACGGCACACGACGGGGGTTGGGTGGCCTATAGCTCCGCGCCCGGCCGCCTTCGCATCGCATCAGGCACTCATTTGAGGCTGAGTCGACCTAGGGAGGGCCCAAGACCCGGTTCAAACTTTCGTCACGCGGTTCGCCGAGTTCGTAACGCAGCGTTCTAACCACCGCAGTGCCGCTGCAAACCCCCCCCCCGCCCCCAAAGCAAAAGTCAGACTAAATCTAAATCACATTAAAAAACATACTTTGATGTTTTTCAGAAAAAAAATCCTCCGTTATATTGTGCAAATTAAACGAATTATTTAATGATGCTGCGTTGGCAGTGGTGCATGAGCAACCTCTCTTGACCGCCGTGTGTGATGTGAACAAGGTTCATTGCCCGAAACGTCACCTATTATATTCTCTTGATATTTTTTTAAGGCGGTGGTGTTATTTACGAGTATGTTGCGCTTTTTTTTTCAAAAGCTCATGCCGACCATTGCCTGTACGATGGTGGCTACGTACGTGGACGCCGGTAATCCAGCACTGGTGATCCACCAGCCGTTTCGACTGCATGGGATCGAGTGTTTCTCCCTCGCACGCGTGGGTTTTCTCCGGGTGCTCCGGTTTCCTCCAACATTAAACGGCCGCTAACACGTTAACCTATAGAGGACCGCAGAGCTTGGACAATTGTCGGCGCCGGCTCACCACGTGGCTGCTGTCCGCTTCTCTGTGGTACGGAGAGTCGTCCTGTTTCTCCGCACGAGAGCGAGCGAATCACGTGGGATGACTTACACGTTTTAATCACTTGAATCTTTTTTTTTTAAACACGTTGGATCAACTTTTTACCTCCACATCTGGGGGGGGGGGGGGTGGGGGGCTCCTACTTTCTGTAACTTTTTAGATTCAGGCCTTCTGAAAGGCTCTTGTAATTTCGTTGACGGACAAACGGAACGCCGGGCTTTTATAATATATATTTTCATCGTCATCATGGCAATTATTATTTGACCGTGCTTCACCACACACCCGTCATTGCGCGAGCGAAGGCAAGGAATGACTTCGCCGTGGGAGCACAGTGGAGTTGAATTAATTGTGCTGCACCACCCTCTGCTGCCGATACCAACCTGTTTCTGTGCATTGTTGGTCACCCAGTCCAAGCTCTATCCAGTCTCGACTCCGCTTAGCTTCGGTCATGCACAGCGGCAGGTATGTATGCATGTTGAACTTCTTTCGCACCGTACGTAGCCAACCGTGCTAATCGGAGGTGCAGTGAGGCTACGTTGCATGCAATCGGAGCGCAGCGCAGCAAACATCCATTGTTGTACCGTATATCTATGCTCCCACGTACGTATATGCCTCCTCCGCCAAATCCGCGCCGACCAGCCTGGTGAAGTTATGGTCAGAATACCCCCTTCCCCGTGGCGTGGGATAGAACTCATCCAGCAGTGGATTGAGCAGGCTTTCGATGATTCATAATTGATTTTGGGGTCAAATCGCCGTGTGAGTAAAGTGTGTGTCGTACACCGTCCTCCACCCGGCACAGCAAACTAATGAATAAAGTTGTCACGCGGGCGAACGTGCCGATTTGTTACTAATTAACTTGTATTCTGTTTTGAGCTGAACCCAAACAAACTGCCGAGTCGTGCATTCTGTTCATAATAAAACTCGGTTACAAGTGCCCACGGTTTGCGCACTTTGCTGATGGCTGTCACAAACAATGCAATCACCTGCTCTGGACCTCCGTAACGCACCCAATGTCACTCACTCCCCCTCTGCCCGTCGCCTCGGCTTTACTCTTTCTCTGGTGAGCCCACGTGAGTGAGCGACACGCGTGTACTTTACTTTTATTGGGGCACACTAGCACCGTGAACGTTGTCCAAAAGGTCTCAGGAAGGCCCCCGTCATAGCAACGAGGAATTTCCACCACCACTGCCATAAGACCGCTCGCGCGGGTATAATTGTATTCGACGATGAGGTCAGAGATGATGTACCACGGTGGCCAAAGGAGGGAACCCGTCCGATAGGCCGTCCTCCATGGAGATGGAGCTTTGCAGTTGGAACATTTGTTCATTACCATCGCCCCGAGCGATGGAGCACACGTGTAACAATCAGTGTTGTTGTCCAATCTGTTGAGTTGTTGTTATTTGTGCCCGTGCACCGCTGCTGGTGCAGCATCGCAAGTCTTGTTATTTCAGCGTGAAATCATCTCGCGCGCAGGAGCCAGAGTGGATCGCCGCGTCGCGCGGCCGTCGGAGACGGCTTAGGGAGGCCTTTGTCCAGCTGACGATACACGATCGATGATGACCGCTGCATCTCTGTTGATACTATGAACATGAACATGACCTTAATGCTTGACCTCGACCCTGACCCCGACCCACCGCAGGAGCCCCGGCGATGAGCAGTGGCGAGGAAAAATGGGGCTATGTGGCGATCCGACCCCAGGCCAAGATGTTCTGGTGGCTGTACCCATCGAAGAAGCCCAGTGTGCAGCCCCTGGTCCTGTGGCTGCAGGTATCACCTCTTGCCCACTCCATCTCCACAGACACGCACAGTACAAAACTATAAACTATTGTTTATTTTACCAGGTAAGGTCCACTCAGCTATGTAGCTCGTTTTCAGAAGCGACCTGGCCATACATGATAGCTCAACGAAGTTGGCTTATGAGGTGAAAATGTAGAGCCGCCAAATACTCTGAACACATGTTCCTAAATGTGGAGAGAAAACCGGAGGACTCGGAGAAAAATCCACGCGAGACGGGGAGAACATGCAAACTCCAAATATGCAGGTGTCAGGGTTGCGATTGAACCCACGACTACCTGTATACCAGGCGAGGCAGTTTGCATCTCGCCACTGTGGTGCCCTAAACGTGACATGCAGAGGGATAATTGGCACTGCCTAGGCACATCGGGTGTTTTTATGATCATGCTGCAGTACAGCAGTGGGTTGAATCCATCTGTGCGGAGCTGTGAGCATCACAGCCCCTTGCCCGTGTGTGCCGTGTCGATATCTCTGCTCACCCCAGGGTGGACCTGGGGCCTCCGGCACTGGCTTCGGGAACTTTGAGGAGATCGGGCCGCTGGATGTTAACTTACAGCCACGGAACACCACATGGGTGAGGATAAAAGCACGCAAATCAACGGAACACTTTTACTCGGCTTTGCTCAGTGCGATCTGTCAAGTCGGTTGGCTTTTCTCTGCTCAGAAGAAGGGGCATTGTTTGCTGCATCTACTGGTCTGGCACCACTGAAACCCCAACTTCTAGTCTGATTTTCAACCACCTGTGACGACATGGATTGAGTTAATAGGTCTCGCCACATTATTCGCGTAAATTTGAGCATTCTAAAATATATACACATACGTATCAGTTTGCCCGCTGTGCGATGATTATTTATTTATTTATCCATGTGTCCCCTGGTCAGGTGTCTGCCTTACTATGCTCACTTCACATGAAATCCTCACCAGTGGACACTTTCCCTAGCTTACTCATTCCGCACTGCAACTTTGACATTGACCTAATTATATGAAATATCACCAATTCTTCTTTCTCTACCGGCTGTTTCCCATCCCCATTTAACACTGGCCAAATAACTCCTGTGAAAAAAAAATACCCAACCTAAACTGTGACGACCTTCTCAAACGGTCGTCCCATTACCAACCTGTCTGCTTCCTGTAAGCCTCTCAAACGGTCGTCCCATTACCAACCTGTCTGCTTCCTGTAAGCCTCTCAAACGGTCGTCCCATTGCCAACCTGTCTGCTTCCTGTAAGCTTCTCAAACGGTCGTCCCATTGCCAACCTGTCTGCTTCCTGTAAGCTTCTCAAACGGTCGTCCCA